CTGGTAATACAGCAGTTTCCTTATAATACCTTCCTTCAACAGAGTTTAATTTAAATTCCCTCTGGTTTAAGCCTGTAATGACATCTTGGCTCAACAGCTTACTTCTGCAAGCACTTGTGAAAGGCATCCGAAGCCCTTTACCTTAGAGGCGTAGACTTATAGATTTAATTTTATATAGAAGACTATTATTTAAAGCGGAAGAGTTTGTTTTTTTGTTTGTTTGTTTGAACGCGCTAATCCCCGTAACTACAAGTCTGATTTGAATAATTCTTTTTGTGTTGGATAGCGCATTTATCGAGGATGGCTATCGGCTTTAAAACATCACGCTACGATCAATAGGAGCTGAGCAGAGCGTGTGAAACCGCGCGGAAGTAGCTAGTATAGAAGATACAGGTTGTAGCTTTTCGATTTTGATCTAAGTATAAGTAAATATAAATCAAAAGAAAATGAAATTATGATTTCTCGTTTTGTGTTCGTCAACTGTTCCAATGTTCGACGCGTGGTGTACAGCGTCCATCAAAATCATCATCAGCCCGTGTTCTTCCACTGCGGAAAATAGGCCTCCCCGCGTCTTTCTCCTGTCAGCGTCCACCATGTCCGTTTTGAAACAAGTCGAGCTTTTGAATCACTTTATTTACTTGATAGTTTCTCGCCGAATAACAGAATATTAATAAAAAAATTGCTAGAAAATTGTGATTCATTTTCAACCAAAATATTCCGTAATCTTAAGCCAAAATATTTAGACGATATATATAATGTTGGGAGTTTATCATGTTCGTGACGGGATGGATCCTCTAGAGCTGCAGATAATGAGCCAGCACTGCCCCCATGGGTATAAAACTGAGGCATCGGCCATTTTAGCGATGTATTTATACGATATCTCATGAAATAACGACCTATGTATAAGATGGAGGACTAAAAACGCTTACGAAATGGGTTTTTGTTTATAGAGATGGTGTTTATTATTGACAAGAAATTGTGATTTTGAAACTATATTTCAGGAAATATTAGATGTAATTTTATGTATAGGTCTCATTTAGTGAATAATTTGTTATTCCTAGTAACTTTCACAAATAGGTATGGTCAAAAAGTCTTGTAATTCAAGATGAATTATAACAACTATTTCTCTATGCAGGTTCCTTAGCACAAAGCGTATTGACTACGCTTGAATTAATGTTTGTAGAAAATCTATATTACAGCATTATAATATACAAGCCTAAAATAGACATGAAAACTATTTCAAGGGCTCCCAACCCAACGAGTGGGCGACGGGATCTTTCTACCCTTTTAGCGAGTGAGTGGATCACAATCGCTGAGTTGACTCCAACCCCCCGCCGCCGCCGGCCAACAGACCGCCTTGAAAACATACCACAAATCTGTTTGCTTAACTTTAATTACGATTATCCTTTTCAAAATTTCAAATAACCAAACATAGCAGAACGAAACCAATTCGAAATATTTTAATTACTTTCTTGAACAAATTAATTTTAGTACCTAATCATCCAAATAGTAATAAAATAGATCAAAATATATCTTTTCCATTTCCTGTGACGCAAATGCTAAATGCATCGGAACGTCACATACCGTGCGGCCGAATGTCTCAATTGACAGGCACACGTCAGTCACTCGAATAAAAATAGCAAACGGGTTGAAAAAGCACTTGAGAAAGAGATAGATCTTAATTTCCTCTATAATGTTAGCTTTACCCTACTATCAAAGCTGTATTGAACATAAAATTTTAACGACGCCGCAAAACGGGCGGCGGCAGCGAAGTGAGTGCGGTGCGCCACCGCTTTATAGCAAATTGGAGTCATAGCGGGTTGACACCGAGACGGCATGGCATTGTCCCATGTGACGCGATACAACTAGACCCAACGGGCTATGTCGAGCAGCAACGAGATGAGGCGGCCATCGGACAGGTTGGATGCGAGCCAGCGATGTGTCCCGCCACTCGCGTGCTTCGGGATAACAGGATATCTAGCTTATGTAGGGATTATTCAGACAACTAGGTCACAATCTCGTTTGTTGAGCGAATTTTCAATGGGATTTAATGTTCTATAGTCGTTGTTGATATAAGCAATTCGCGTCAATGTAAAGTTGACAGTGTAAATGTTGGCATCGTGACATGTCGCTTAGAGCTATTGTTCCGCAAATATCGAAGTAAATAGAGTGCGTTTGGGAATAGTGGAGTATACCAAATGTTTTTTCAACGCCACTGACCTGACTGACCCAAATACTGGGTACATCCTGTTACACTGCGTGTGTCTATTAGTCAGTCTCTGTATTGTATAAATTCAGTTTAGTCGAGTGATTCAATTTCAAACAGAATTTGTGTTAGGTACTAAAATAATACTCTGCTTTAATTTTATAATTACTGGAAGTGTGAAGTTGGTTGAATGACATTGATGCGATGAGAATGGAATTAGAAGAAAAGACATCGTTTAGTAAAATATACCTTTACATTGAAGCTCATCGTCTTATTTATAAGAATGAACAAATAATGTTCTACAGTATCTTTCTAGTCTCTTTATTTGAGAGGTATTCATTGGAACTTATTAATGAACAAAAGAAGGAATGTGCGGGCGTTGATTGGCTGGTCTGCGGGCACCATGTGTCCTGCACCAGACACCAGTACATCCATGAAGTTCCCGCTCTCCTTCACGAACCTAAAATAGTACATCACATGCCTTACACTTATGCCATAATAGTTTTTTTAAGATATCGAACGATTACTTACCCGATAAATGTATGAGTATTGTCATAATATGGTAACCTAACGGCGTTTCTATATTCTTCCGCTCCTGACCATTCCAAACTGCTGTACGTGTGCGTTGACAGCGCGTACCCAACGATGATATCCAGTTGTCCACTTCAAGAGAATAATAAATTTAACATTATTAATCTATTCAACACTAGCTACTTTCATGTGGTGTTACCCACTCTGCTTAGCGCCTACTGACCGTAGCGTGGTGTTTTATGGCCTATAGCCTCCCTCACGCTTAAATCAATAAATAAATCATTAAAAACACATAACATAACATAACATTACGTCTTTTATCCCCGATGGTGTAGGCAGAGGTGCACATTACGGCACTTAAGGCCACTGTACAATGTAATTCACCCACTTTTCACAATTTATGTTAGGAGTCCCATGTAATAGGAGGTGAGCCTATTGCCATGTACCGGGCACAATTTCAGATTCCATGCTACTACAGTACTGAGATTTTTTTAAAAACACCGAGTAATACTTTGCCCGACCCGGGACTCAAACCCGAGACGCCGTGCCCGGCAGTCGCACTTGCGACCAATCGGCCAACGAGACAGTCACACTTGCGATGTGTTTTGTCGTGTCCCCAATTCCTGAATCCCCAACGGTCCTCAAACTCCTAATCCCCAAAAGATCGGTAACGCACTTGTAACGCCTCTGGTGTTCCAGGTGTCCATGGGCGACGCCGATTGCTTACCATCAGGTGATCCGCCTGCTCGTTTATCGGATTAAATGCTATAAAAAAATTATACAACAGTGGTACTGGATAATGTGAAATTATTGTTTTGAATTGGGAGATGGGTTATTTCAGTAATATTTGACTTGTATACTGTTTTATTTTTTGTTATATGTAGTTGATGTGTATTAATGATCTATGTAATTAATTAAAATAAATGGTAATAATAATATTTAAAAACTGGCGCAGGCCACAGCTAGTGTATACCTACTATAGAAGGTTTACCTATAACACATGACTCCATAATGTTCCAGTAGCTCCTCCAGCCACGGTTTGACGGTATGGTATATGTCTTTCATTAAATTATTATATACAATATTATTTTGTGGTTCAAATTTCATCTTCTTCACGTGTAAAGCTTTTTGTACATCTTCTCTATTTAAAAATTCTACATACTCATCAGTTATTCCTTTTGTTTCCGATACAAAGTTGTAGAGATTAATTGGTACATAGTTCGTGAATTTTTGTTGTCCTTCTTTTGCATACTGTAATGAATATGAAAGGTAGTAAAAAGTATCAAACCTTATTGCTTAGGCTATAAGAGTCTTTCTTATAAAATTTTATTAAACAAGCTTGAATATATGTGTTTGAAGTGAAATCTTGCAACTTAATTTTGAAGCAGATATCTTCAACCGATTGAGCAGAATATATCACACTAGCTACTTCCGCGCGGTTCCACACGCTCTGCTCAGCTCCTATTGGTCGTAGCGTGATGTTTTATAGCCTATAGCTATCCTCAATAAATGCGCTATCCAACACAAAAAGAATTATTCAAATCAGACTTGTTGTTACGGAGATTAGCGCGTTCAAACAAACAAACAAACAAAAAAACAAACTCTTCTGCTTTATATAATAGTTTTTTTTTAAGGGGGGAAAATCTGACGAAGACTGCTCCCGCCTGGGTGAGGTGGGAGGAAGTGTCAGACTCTTACTGACTAAAAACCACCCCGTTCCTTCTCCTGCACGTCGAGTCGGAGCCCCGGTTACCCGTTAGGTTCTCCGCGACTATATAATAGTATAAGATTTCTATAAATGCATACCTTAAAAGAGTCACAAAATCTAAGTATTACTAATTCCATATATAATATCCACTTTATTACCTTCGCATACAAATCAAAATTGCCCGCTGCCCAATACTCCCTAGCTTGTTCTTCCAAAGCATTCACCTCCTCTGCTTCTTCCTTTTCTAAAAATCCTAATTGTTCGCCCAACTCAGAGTAGTGCAGCAGTGTTGGTGGATCTGTCCACCCGTCACCGATTAAGAGACCCTGAATTAAAATATGGTAAACCCATGATACAGTGATATAGTAGTAGAGGTATATATACCTATATATTTTTTTTTAAACCCGTAATACATTGCCCGACCCGAGAATCGTACCCGATACCCCTTGCACGGCAGCACCACTCGAACAACAAGGCAATCAATCAGCATCAATATAAGCAAATAAGTTACGGATTTATTTAACTTACTTTCAGATTTATGTGCTTTCCTCCGTCTGCATTGTTTTTATGAATGTAATGCCCAGAAGCTGGAATATACTTTCCTGCATACGATTCACCGGCGATGAACAACGGTGCAGTTTTCAGTTCTGGATATACTTCTAGAAATTGTTGTATATGATTTAAAAGACATTGTCCAACCTGCAATAGTCATTAAACACATTTAAGGTTAAGTTTGGTAGTTCAAATAGTTCGAAAGGCTGGTAACGCACTTGTAACCCCTCTGGTGTTCCAGGTGTCAATGGACGACGCCGATTGCTTACCATGAGGTGATCCGTCTGCTAGTTTAACGGTAGTATGCCATATAAAACTGTTAAGAATGTAATATGGTACTTATATATATGTCGGAAACGTCGAAGGATACGGTAGTAAAATTCAATTTGTCCATATTAACGTATTGTATTCACAATGATAATAGTCAGTAAAGTAATGTAAGCTTATTACAAAAGATGGTAATATTACACTTGTTTGACATTTATGACAATTGGTTTGATCAAGAATATCAAAAGCAAACTAATTATGCAGTCATCACCTGGTCCTCATTAGTCACGTACTCCTCAGTCTCAGTAAAACTAAACCCAGTACCCACTGGATTGTCAATGAAGAGGAGGGAGTAATCATAACCCCAGTTACCAAAAACCCTGCCCTCTGAAATTCAATAATTGTGTGTCAACAGAAGTAGAACATAGTTAAGCACAAAATAAATACAAGAACTCGTATACCTAATCTCTTGACAACTTTTTGCATCGTTTGAATTTAACAGTATTTTTACAAGCCCGCCACAACCTCCCAAAACCGCTTCAACTCCTGTAAGCCAGGATCTACAGTAGATACAACCATAAAAACACCGAGACACTGATTTAAACTGATGTGGTGCCCAGGAGGTTAAGACGGGCGTCTTGAGGGCACCCTCATGTATAAGGAGCTTCAAACCCACCAATGGCAAGTGTCAATGTGACTTTTTCCGAGTAGTATTCATATTTTTTCGCAGTTGGCATCGGCTCGTCGTATGCTTCCCAATTGACCGGGACCCTAGGGTCCCGTGAATGGTAAAGACATACATAATAATAATAATTAGTGATCATAATTTTACCTATTTTATTATTGACATACTATATAGGACCAATTTCTTCGAATAATCCAAACATGGACGATCCTCCAGGGCCTCCTTGTAACCAAATTATCAATGGAGTTTTGTCTAGAGGATAGAAATTAGGGCTGGGGAAGAACCAAGAAAATAGATGCCATTTCGCCGTTTCGTTAACAGTAAAATATCCTGCGTAACTCTTGACGCCTGCGAACAGGGATGGGTCCACTTCGGACTGGTTTCTCGCTTTTTCTATCTCACCATTTTTTATGTACGGAGTTAAAATGAGAGGTTGTCCGTCTTGAATTGGAGGCACTATACCGCATAGGACCGTTGCACTGAATCAAATATAATTAAGATCAATGACATTATGTTTAAATATTAATTATCTAAAGTAAATGGGAAGAACGAAAAAGTCGATAGTCTACCAACCATAAGTACAATAAAAATGACACTGTGCCAAACATAGTGACTGACTGAAGTTCCGCGACTCGTGGCCGTGACATTATATAGTATCTATACCAATATCATAATCTATACTAAATATTATAAAGGTAAAGCGTTTGTTGGTTTGAACTACCTAACCTCCGGAATTACTAAGTCCAATTGAATAATACTTTTTGTGTTCTTCAGTCCATTTACCGAGGACCCCAACCACGGTACGAGCCAAATAAGAGTCGAATAGCGGGTGAAACCGCGGGAGTAAATAGTTACAACATAAAGTCATTAAAACTAAGTTGTTTAAAACATTTTGTGAATTTATACTGAAGATATAACTGTCCAAACAATTTTATCAACTATGTCATAACTTGTGGAGAATTTAGCAATGAAAATAAAACAGACTTGCAAAAAATGTTACACTACAGGAATGGACATGAATGCTCAGTACCTATGGCATTTGTATAATTTTGATATCGCCTATAAATAGGTAGATTAACTTTGTAGGGTTCATGGTAGATATCCCACCCACACGCACGAAGCGCTTCGCATCAAGCTTCCATGTGCGTACTAAAAGGAGTGGAATTCTTTGCCAGAGTCTGTATTTCCTAAAGGGTGTCTTCAAGGCCCGAGTGAATAGGTTGCTTATGACGTAGCACCGTATACATCGTAGACCGCATCATTGCTTACCACCAGACGCGATAGTGGTCAAACGTTGGGCTATCAAATATAATAAAGTAAGGTTTTACTTAATAACTGTGATGTGCTAATTGACTTTGCGCCTCACTCATCAACAGTTCATTAGAGTAAGCTGCTGGATTAAGGGCATTTTCATAAAGGTAAAGAAGGGTTTGCTTCTTTCTAGCTGGTAGATTCGAAATCGCAATGCCCTCGCACGTACGGGCGTTTAATGATTCCCCACCCCAGGCTCCGGGTCGATGTGTAGGAGGAAGGACGGGATGGTTTTTAGTCAGCAAGAGGCTGGCATTCCCCCATATCTTCATCCAAGGCGGAAAAAGTTATGGTTCAATTTTCCTCCCTAAAAAAAGTGTGGAGATTAAGGCAAACCCCTCTCGCAGACTCAGACTGAGCGGTAGATTAGTACAGGTGAACATAAATAATATTATCGATGTGTCAATCTCCACCACCAAATCTTGATCTCTGGTGATTTTCAATAGAGGTATAGAAGTAATTCATAGTTGGAAGCGATATACGGAATTTATTACGTCATCATTGAGTTATTTTGCTTGTTAATGTTATAAAATCATGTTCAAGCGAGGGTCTCTATTCTCAGGTATATAACATGGAACTCGTACCATATCTGGTAAAAAGTAAATTTTATAGCGAATCCAAATGAACGCCTGTATAACTCTTTTTAAATCAAAATGTGTTTTTCTATATTTATGTTACACAAAAACATTACGATTAATATCAATACACTAAAACAGAATGTCGGAAGTAATTGCCCCTTCATTTTCTTGCAAGAGGTAACATACTGGAAAAGCCACGGCACTGCTATTAGCTGCACATGTTATAGCATATTTCAATAATAGGGCTGTCACACCGAATAGCATTTTTAACTTATTTAATAGGTAATATCTCATCTCTGTTCTACTTTACTAGCTTTCGTCGGATTTTAGAACAGTCATTATTACGACTGCAAAGTTTATTTAATCATCGTCTTTTGTGTATAAAGTTACATCATGATTTTCCAGCTAAAAAGTAAACCAAGATTTTTCATTTGTTCTAATAACGATCAAATAAACAATATGATTGTAACAACAAGGATGAGTTTGAATCATTCCTTATCATATCAGCTACAAAACGCCCACTGCTGAACACAGGCTTCACCAATGACTTCCAGTTAAGCCGATGAGAAACAATTGACCTGCACCTCACGGCTCTCTGTCACCTTAATCAGACCGTTTAACTATAGGAGTGGGTTCTGAGAACTATAAAATTAAATAAAACCATGAAAGTGTAGTGAACTCTATATAATTAACATACATATTTTTATTTGAACTTGTTAATGAAAATATCAATGATTTGCTTGGCGGCGCGTGGCTTGTCTTTGGGCACCATGTGTCCTGCGCCACGGACCAGTACGTCCATGAAATTGCCGCCTTCTTTCATAAACCTAGAAAGAGAAAGGTAATTTATTCACCAAAATGATAAAATGACATAGATTAATTCAAACACAGTGAAAGCAGTAGGAACAAGAAGATTATGACACTCAGTCTTTGCAATGCACATGGTAAGTTCTGCGATATCTTATCACACCACAGCCCATAACCATCCTTTGCTGGGCCTTCTCTACAAATTAACTCTAATCTTTGCGCAACAATTTGAGATTAAAGGAGAGCGCTACTGTCTAGTCCTGTCAAAGGAAACCAGCAAACTTCCATGGTAAATTGGACCTCGACAGGCAAAAATTAAATACTGTGGATTTTTAAGGACTAGTATTAATATTCAGCCCTGTGTCATTTTTTTTTTTGATAGATTCTAAATATTTCAGTTAGACGTCAAGAAATTCTCTTAATATTTTTTTCACGCTCATTATTGTCGTATTTATTTTTTGTATGTCAGAGCCAGGATTTACCGATCTAATTTGCACTACATGCAATCCCTTAGTCAGCTTAAATGACATTCCTGGGATCAATAGACTTAACTTTTACTCTGTCGTCACTTCATGACCGGTATTATGCCGATATTATATCGATACTCACGAATTAATATCGCCACTATCTGGATCGAGAAGAGGTACTCTCTTAGCGTCTCTATACGCCTGCGTTCCTGTCCAATTCAAACTCCTGTATGTGTTCTTTGATGAAGCGTATCCAATCAGAACATCTAGTTGTCCACTAGAAGCAAATTGATCAAAATTCACAATAATATTGAACTAATAAGAAACATAGTCCCATGATAAGAATGCAATGTGTTCTTCCAGACTATAATCTATTATTGTAAAAAAAATATAGAAAACCGTCTAGTAGCTTTTTGTGCAACATGCATACTGACTGTGACATGCGACTGCACGGTTAACGCGGGGGCTGGGCAACTGACTGCCGCGCAACATGTCGAGGGTTCGATTCCCTCACGGAGCAGCTCTTTGTGTGATCCACAAATTGTTGTTTCGTGTCTGGGTGTCATTGCGCATATGAACTTGTGTGTTTGTAAACGCACCCACGACACAGGAGAAAATCCTAGTGCGGGGCAACCGGACATGTTAAGGAACTTACTTGTAACACATAACTCCATAATAGTCCAGTAACACCTCCAGCCATGGTTTGGAAGTGTGATACCTTTCTTTTGTTAATTCCCTTTCAACAACAGGGTTGAAATATGAATAATCCATTCTTTTAACGTGCATAGCCCGTTGTACATCACGTCTATTTAAATAAGCCTCGTAATCTTTAACGTTTTCCGCCTCTTGTGGTATGGCCACCAATATGTTTTTAAGATTAATCGGTGCAAAAGCATGCAACATATCCATTCCTGCTTGCGCAGCCTGGAATAAAAGAGGTACAGAATTATCCTTAGTTAACGTAAGGAATTAGAAAGCCAAATTTGGATCTACTAGCTTTTGTCTGTAGCTTGCGTGTTATTCCAAACCGAAAACTCCTATTCCTTTCATCCCAATCCCTTCAGCCTTCAGTATTGCTGTGGTTGAGTAACAAACATAGAGTTGTACGGTCAACGGTCAAAAGTCCTCTGCCACCGTAAGACTATTATCGGTTGCGCTGCAGCGCTTATACACACATGCACACGCATATTTTTACCCGTGTGCGTACGCGTGCGTGTGTTTATGCGTACGCACGCGTTTTTATGCACATTAATATGAAATTACTTACGCATTGCCGTGTGAACATCACTCACGGTGGCAGTGGACTTTTGACCTTTGACTATACAGACAAACAAACTCACTCACAAACTCGGATTTATATTATTAGTAAGATAAGGTCTAGTAGGTTTAGTCTCACCTTCTCATAAAACTCAAATTTGCCATTAGCCCAATACATTCTAGCCAGTTTTTCCATGTAATGCATCATGTCCGCTTGAGTTTTGTCTATGAGTCCTAATTGTAATCCCAACTCGGAGTGGTGCAGTAGTGTTGGTGGATCTATCCAACCGTTACCGATCGCCAGACCCTGCATCAATTGGTAATAAAAAAATGTGCTTCTTCACAAATATATTGACAGGAAGGGAGATAACATGCAAAAATGTAGCAGATATTTAATTATACACCACCCTTAACCATCTTTGTATATTCATAGAACATCAAACATATTATTGTCTTGTATAGACTACCTCGCTGGCCGAGTGGTCGAAAGTGCGACTGTCGGGCTAGAGCAGGTTCGATTCCCGGGTCGGGCAAAGTGTTACTGAGGTTTTTAAAAAAGTCTCAGTAGTAGCACGGAGTCTGGAATCGTGCCCGATATATGGCAATAGATATGCTCACCCCCTACTACATGGGACTCATAACATAAATAGTGAAAGGGTGTTACATTGAACAGTGGCTTTAAGTGCCGTAATGTGTACTGCCTACCCCTTCGGGGATAAAAGGCGTGATGTTAAGTGTCTTTTATAGCTTGTTAGTAAGTTAGACGATAGTACCACCTTTAAATTAATTTTCTTTTTTTCCGGGTCCAGATTATTTCTGTGTATGTAGCGACCGAAAGACGTTATGTACCTTCCGCCATACGACTGTCCGGCGATAAACAACGGTGCAGTCTTCAATTCTGGAAATACTTCTAGGAACTGAAGAAGCAGATTTAGTAGACATTGACCAACCTACAAACCGAATGATTATTATTATTGTTTTTATAGTAGAATGATACCGTACAACAACCTGGTAAAGGAGTTAGTAAGGACACAAACTTTTAAAAAGTAGATATTCCACTTGCAGGAATACAGTCACAAAATATTTGATGCATGATGAGACAATTC